ACCATTAAATATTAAAATTATTACAAAAATCCAATCAGAATATGCGATAAAAAAAAACATCAAAAAGGGGAAACTTATATTTATGATTGGCTTGTTAACTATGGACCAATTGGAGTGCAATAAACTCCATAAGATTTTATTCATTGGGTGATGTTAGGACAAACTACTCAAAAATAATACGAAAGTGTTCCTATTTGGGAAATTTCAACATTTCCAACTTGAAATACCTAAAAATATTAGTGGTCTACTAACAAAACTGAGAAACTTGCATAGAAATTGACAATGAAGTGTACGGAGGCAAACTGTATAATGTTCGATTTGCAATTACAGAGCATGTGGGGACAAAGGCTGTGGTTTTGCGTAACCGAAAGCAAACAAACAGCCAGGGTGATCTCATTTTTTATTGACGGTTGAATTGAAGTACATATGGAAAAGCCTCAAAATCTCACAGCTATTCATGGGAATTTCGACTTCTCTACAGAGGTACATAAAACTAAGCTTGAATTAAATCACAAGTTCGAAACCACCTAAACTAGGGGTAATAACAGTATGGAAGACCAGTAAAATGTAAAGTAAAAAACAGCAGTTTAATTTTATAGTGCTAAAACTTATTCAGAAATTCGCTGGTTAAGCGTCATATCTTGATATTTATTAATTTGAACACATAAACATTAGTACAAGAGGGCACTAGATACACATGCGCCTCACAATAACAATGAGGTTGTGAAGAAATATAGAATATAAGGTGCGTATAATAAAAAATAAGAACAATAAACATAAATTAGTATACGGAAGTAAAATAATAATAATAATAATAATAATAATCGTAGAAACAGTCTGGTTAAGAAAAATACAGCCAGAAAGAATCCTTTCAGTTAAAGATGTTACGTTCACTTTTATGAAGAAAGTAAAGGAGTTACAGAAAAATCGCCACTGGCTTCCATTCTGAGCCATATGTGATAACGTCTCTAACCACTGTGTTGTATGATCTCTAGGACCCCGACCAGGGAGTCGCGAATGACCAAGAAAAGCCAGTCTTGTACATCCTTCTTTCTTGTCACGACACCATGTCATACACTGACCACCTCTCCGCCTTTTCCAACCAGTCCCAGAGTCGGCAAATTCTGTGGTGTGACATTTGTAAGACATGTTCAAGCCACCGAAGTCAATGTTTCAAGATGGTGACACCGATTGGATTATCGTCACTGTGCCAGAACAGACGATGCCGGACCTCTGAATTACTAACATGGTGTAGCCACTAGATGTCAGCAACCTTTCGGAGGCAACAATGACCGAACACAGAGACTCGTATAACATCCTCAACTGGGAGAAGCCATGTTTCACAAGACTAGAGCGAAACTGCTCTCACTGACGCGTTGTAGATCCGGCATTTTACAGCCACACTAACATCACAAAGGCTCCAAAGATGGTCCAGATTAGCATAAGACGCTCTGGCTCTTGTTATACGTGGATCGGTTTCATCACTGACGCCACTACCAGCATTTACTCAGCTACCCAGATACGCGAACTTCTCGACTACTTCTGTCCGTTCATTACCCAGAGTGAGTGGAGGTTCAGGGTCCCTCCAGTCTTATAGAAGTACTGTGCGCTTGGAAGGTGCAAAGTACATATCACACCTAGGGACACCAATTGCCAACTGATTGAGTGAGTATTGTATGGTTCAGGTATCATCGCATACTAAGACAACACCATCCGCATACTGAAGGTCGGAAAGTTTTTCTCCAGGCGAAAAATCCACACTACAACTACCTACATTTATCAAAGCTGTTTCCAGAACGCCATCAATACCAAAGTTGAGTAGGAATACCGACCGTTGCTGCTATCTTGACGTGGTGGTCGTGCTTGCCTTTCGTGATGAACCAATAGAGCTATACTGGCTGGGACAGTCGTTCCTTAAGGTCCAACCATGCCGGACAGGTCGGTTGAAGAGCGATAAGACTAAAAGCAGCAAACCCAAGGTCAGAGGACGAAGTTGTACTGCTGACTATACAGAGATGTGACGGCAGTAAAGTGTTTCCTTCCTCCTCATGAGTCAATTTTTCTCGAGTTTTGAACAATCTAAGAAGTATGATGGAAGCCAACAGTTTAGACGCGATTGGAAGTAGACTTATTCCCCGATAATTGTGTTCAGAAACGATGTGAACCCTTCTTAGATGTAGGAACGAGTATCGACTTATTCCATTATGTTGGAACACTCTCTAATTGCCAGATCTTTGTAAACAACTGTCATTTTTTAACAAGTAAGTGGCCACCATCTTTAAAAAGGACCGGCGTAAGTCATCTGGACCTGATGGTTTGTAGCGATTCGGGATTTGGGGTTATTTTCGAACTTCCGCCTATTTAGTTAGATCAGTTGTTACAGGCCATGGAGTGCAGGACTTATTTAATTCCGTTATTGACTAACGCTATTTAAGTCGATGATTATATACGAGGATAGGCGACATATATATTTCAGAAGGGGTTTTGTGGAGATTGTAGTAATTTCAATGATTAAGATCATGAGTCAGTTGAAGCTAGACCACCATGGAAAACCTGGAAGCACTGGACGGCCGTTTCGTCCTATTATGGGACTCCTCAGCAGTGCGCATCCACGACCTCGTGGATGCGCACTGCTGAGGAGTCCCATAATAGGACGAAACGGCCGTCCAGTGCTTCCAGGTTTTCCATGGTGGTCTAGCTTCAACTGACTCATGATCTTAATCATTGATATATATTTCAATAAAACTCATTCATATGATCTACTTAGAGTCAGATCCTGGGCCACTAAAGTGGAGAGCAGCCAACAAACATCATCCGATCTAAGTGATAAAATAAAGGACCCCACTAAAAGCAGACCAGTTGAACTGCTCCCCGAAAACCTCTACATGTCGTCCAGGACTTCCGTAGATGTTATTGATTGACATCCCGTCATCTTCACTCACACCAGACTTTATGCTGCCAGTGACTAGGATGAGTCGAACGAGTTTCCTGTATTTACAGATGCAGCTGCTGCTTCCACCCCCCAAATGCTCTGGTACGACCGAGTGGGGATAGTCATCTATCCCTCTCGAAATGCTCTCACATGCATACAACCACTGCCAGGGAAGTCCTACTCACTGTCTTCTCGTGGCGGGGGTGTTGTTTACGAAATTGAGAGGACGAAAAGCGAATGTCTGGCGCTTTAACCGGGTCGGTGAGTCCACCTAGGGGAGTTGGAAAACCCCAGCTCAAAACCAATGGTGCACATAGGCTCCAGTATCCTGAGGTAACAAATGACGTATGAGCCTATTGTTGGTCACCGGCTACCATGGGACTGCATCTCCTGATGTTGCCGCACTGCCTTGTGGGTCAGATCTTTGAGTCAAAAGCTCCGAATGTGGCCCCCTAAGAAAACCACCTGTTTCGGTTTGGGCACCCAGACAGTACCCCAGCCCTCACATCAATCGAGTGATTTATGTGGCGCATATACATTTGGTGCCTCCATGTACCGATGCTTATGTGCTTGAATAAATAAATAAATACGCTGCTTCCAACTCGTTAGCACGCTCCGACCACCAAGCTTTTCCCAATTTCATTACACAATAGTCTTTGTTTGTGGGCTTGATATACTCAGAAATGAGAACAATATAATTACAAATATACTCAGTTTATCTGAATATCATGTAAATCTTACATGTTTATTATTTAACACAACAGAAAATATGTAACTAAATGATATGAATTTAAATGCGCCTATGATTAAGTTTATTCTGAATCGTTCTAATCATAATTCTCAGTGCTTCTGTACTAGGGAATTAACTACACGGTCAGAATGCACTGGTAACACAAAGATTTTAACAAACTGAAGTGATTGATACTTCATAAATATTTGACTATCAAATATCAACACGTAAATGCTGGATAATCTAAACAAATTTCAACCCCTTAAATTTTCTAAAGGAATACAATTGATCTACTGGTCAAATTATATCAACAGAGACACTACCCAGATAAAACTACGAATTAACTATCAAATAATAAATCAATCGTTAAAATAAAGTTTGGTAAAAAGACCAATAACATTTAGCATCTGACTTTCGTGTCAGTTTATCATTTGCAATTAACGGATGCCGCCAAATAATTTTTCGAAGTGTAACAACTGGTACATACGGCGAGATATGATAGGAATTTCGTTCTATCAGTTCATTAGTTGCGTCTATATAGAAGTTAATGGGCACACTTTTGACATGAACTGAAGCTAAATGATACACATTTTATGGGTACATTGTATTATTTATTTGTATCTTCCCATTGATGTTTAGGACTGCAATTGATCAGCCTCGCATTTTATAGATACTGAGAGTGATGTTAAGTTCTATGACGCTTTTACTGTCCACCAGAATGATAAGCAAGACTCGCAATACTAATTAATTATAATGCTAATAATTCATACAAAATTTGTAAAAGTAACCACTACGTAGTTATAATGGCAGTAACAAGGCTTTGCATATGAGGATGAGATGATGAGAAAACTCAAATCAAAAACTTAGGGGATCATCTATTTATCCTAACGGAGTATAGGGAAATCGGGGAAACGTTTAAAAAAATGAAGCCAAAAGATTTATCATCAAGTTGACAAGGTCCGCAAATAAACTGAAGTAATCACTAAGTGTAGGGATTTGTAAATATATAATAATAAATGAGACGAATTCCATGAGATTTCTATAAATACGAAAACAGGAACGCTAACCTGAAAACAGAAAAACAGAGCCGAAATATTTGCCATTACTACCTGTGATCTTCATCACAATAGGTTTTTTAAATTGGAATTACTAACATTTAGAATGTTATGAAGACTACTAGTTTTGTAGCAAATAAACCAAATGTAAAAAATCTATATTCTTCAATATAAAATATTCATCATTCAATATTAAACGGATTCAGATACTTTTACATTATTAAAATTCTTTTAACCATCATTAATATTCTAGACCCATATACGCTTATCATTTAACAAGATGGAATTTTTTAGTCTGTATTCTTTTAAAACTGATTCGGTAATTTTTATTTGAAGGAACGACATAAATGGTACATAAATATTTATTTATTACTGTTTTACTTTGAAAAAAAGAAGACACAGAAATGAAGAAAATTGAAAAATCAACACCATAATGGATGATAACCACCATCGAACAGCATTACAAAGAGATACAAAGCTCACAAGTACTCTATCTTTCCTAAGCACATACATAGACATGTATAGTGAATAGAAAGGTATAGAAACATTACGGAGAACTAAATCAATAATGATACCTAATAAAATAAACCCATAGATAAATATACAGCATATGAAAATATAAAAACTCTATGAACAAGATGCGAAAAAAAAATTTAGAATGAGTACAACAATTAAGCTTGAGTAGTTCAGTTTGCAATAATCAGATAGAAAACAGGTTCAATTAATACAAATTGACCAAAAAGAGATGAGGATGTAGAGTTAGTAGAAGGAAAATTAACTTTTTGACACTTACAAATGAGTTTAAGATAGAATTAAATCTTCATAATTTTTAAAAACCTTTGGTTAATTAAATTGAGGAGTACATGATTTGATCGTACGCTCAATGAATCCGTCTTTTTCTACTAAACAGATCATATCTGCCACAGTTTGTTCAACAGCAGCGCTTATAACGCGAGAAGACATCTGGAAAAACAAGAAAAAAACTACTAATTACAAGAACAAGTAGACACTGAAAAATTATATAGAGGTCACGGAAAATTCTATTAAGTACACGATAAACTTAAAAATTTCCACTGATTCCTTACTATTTTAATCAACCAACCACTGAAAAGACCATTAAGGAGGACATTCTTCTGCGGATAGTGATTGATTTATTGAATTTTCCAATACTGAACTAATGATAGTATTTAATCGAGTCAATACACCTACGCAATGTTTATCAGTTGGATAAAAACGATAACACACACTGACAAACGTATTTGAAACAAACAAGTGGAGCCCGATACTTTATGGGTGAAGTAAAATGATGTATGGTAGCAACCGTTTCAGTTATCTGAGTAACTGCATTAGTTCTAGAGGGTTAAGGACTAACGAGACATTTCAACACATATTAAATCCAACGACATATTTCTACTAAACTAGGGGATAATATACCAGTATAGAGGTGTAGTCTAGTACGGTACACGGTCAATGTAGATATCTGATTAACGATGTCCATTTACGATCATCGTTCACGTATGGTACAACTAGTCGAAAAGTAAACGGTAAACGAGCCCCTACTAAGTTAAATCAATCAATGAAGTATTAAATCTGTAGTGAATGAGATAAATATTGAAGTGGAACCATAGAAAAAGGAAAGAGAAAATAGATTGGATCAATCACGAAAAACTATGCATTGCAGACTGGTAACTATTTTCTTAATAGCGAAAATGAGTGAATAGAAGTTTTGTGCGATTGTCTAGAAGTGAGCCATGGATACCAGATGAAGATCAACCCCGTCTTAATACTAAACCTTCAGAGTTCCACATTGAAGAAGTTTACTATCTTTTTTTTGACGCTAACAAATAAATGATTTTTGCAAAGCACTTACCGGTTCCCAGTCTGTTACGTCACTCGGAGGATATTTAAAGTATGGACCGAAATTGACAGAAACAGTAGCAGATTTATATATTGATATTGCTGGATAATAAGTACCTGCATAGATATTAGTAAAAGCTGCTCCCATACATTTACCATTGTGGTAGAACGTAATCTGAAAATATTAAAAACTAAGAATACATTATATGTAAAAAAATGTACACCCAGACACACACAAACATATACACACTATTTCCTAAATCAGATTAAACAGTTCGAAAACTCAAATAGCTAAATATTCATTTATTATTACGTCAAACGCTTTTAACCCAGGACGTATGAATAAAAAACTTTTGTACTAAACGTATATTACAGCATCACTGTGAAAGAATGTGTATCATTTAAGTAAAACACTTCATGATAAGAGGATTTAGTTACGACTCTATCAAGAAGCGTATATCTTCACTGGAATTCAGATAAACGATAGTCGATAATCCCATAGATTATCAGGACCAATCAACACAGGACAACTGAATCCAACAAGTGTCAATACGGCCTTGAAAGAAAATTAATTACCCCACCAAATTACATGAACTGTGGTGTAATATATTAAACAGATAGTTCAGTTTACAAGACTAACGTCTAAATCTTGAATTCATGGTCATAATGTGCACATTTATCTTAATGTAGAATCGGAAATAAAATAAAATTTAAATATACGAACTTGACAAGAAACAAATAAAACTGCGTATAAAATTTATGACACCAGTATGAACAGTTTTATTTTCAAAACCTGTCAGTGTGTATGATAGAAGAGAAGGAAAAATAATTAAACTCCACCCATTTTTATTTTTTCTACTTAATGGAACGATACTAATTGTGATCCGTAAAAATAACCAGCTGGACAAAAGATATAACGGATTTAGAGATTTAGAAAGAAAAGAGAATTATTTCCAGGAGGACAGAAAAAAGAAACAATTGAACCTTTTTATGCATTTAATAGAGTGAAAAGAAATCCAATCAGTTGTCTTAGTGAATTATTAAAGAAAACTGAGAACAACAGCAACATGAAATTAATGTTTTCGAGAAAATATTGGATTTGCGATTATTAACGGACGCAGAGATGAAAATTTGTAAGATCAGTATTTGTCTAATGAAACATATTGTCATACAAAAAGCGATTATTAAACACGCATGTTCTATAATTATCATATGGAATATCAGGGAGAGCTAAATGAAATACAATCTAGACATGGAGACAACAACAGTAATGCCAAAATCCGTGGTGACAAGTAATTGCAGTGAAATTTAATCAACAAGCATAATATTTTTACTGACATTATTTATTCCGAACATGTTTTTTTTTAAAAATGAGTAACCTAACAACAAAGTAGTTAATATAATAATTAACTAAGAAAATCTGACATACGAAAAAGAATGAGTCAACGTGGACATTGTCAAAAATCTAGTCGTTGATATAATGAAAACCTCACTACACTGGATGATCTCAAAATGAAGAAAAAACAATCGTATTATTGATCTAAATCGTTTAGAATTCCCACTTCCCTACAACTTAAAGAAGTAATGAGAAAAGGACTGAGAGATAAAAGCCATAGTAACGCTAAAATATGCCCGTTTAAACACGTATTCTTTCGGTTTCATCTGTTTACCCATGATAAGATATTTTAACATTTTTAAACATACCTTTAGATTACACACAAACTCTACGAAATAAATATAACGCTTCTAAGCTACCAAAAAAACGATAAAATTCCCTACGAATTCGATCAAAATAAATTAGTAATATGTTGTCACGTCTATAAACATGAAGAAGTAATACGAGAATCAGAAATCAACAATAAATATGAAACGAACAAACAAGAGTCCATCTCACTTTCGAAGTACGACTACACTGTGTTAACTCTAGTTTAATATTTGAAGGAAACTAATGCATATTACCTATAATATTATCTGAAATTATAAATGGTTAATATTAGTTAACTCATAACTGGTCAAGTTTTACACACTTTCTATAAATTTTCCCGTTGACCACTTATGTAAGTCGTAGTAGATATCGTCACTATATGTTAATTGGAAAACGTCCGAGTGGGATATTTCTATGATTTATAGATTTTTCTTATCTACATTTATTCTAATTAACCACGTTGAACACTATCACACAGTATGAATGCCTGAATGGTTTTTGATCGTCAACGTAGCCAAGTTGGATGTCTTGTGTGGAGTATTCTGATCACTTATTCAGAAACAATTACTGTATCCTCATTAACAAGTCGGAAAATTCACTTTACTTTCTGCTTAACAGTATATATTGTTTCCTGATGGCTAATTCACTGTCAGTAATATGACACCCTTAAAACCAAATCCCGAGACTGAAGTAGGAAATACAGATCTATTTAGGAGTTTACATTGATTAGACTAGTTTAGATCTAGAATATTCTAGGGTATATAGAAATAAATTTATAGTCATTTAATTGAATAATTTTGATATATCTGCACTGTTACTGTACAAAATCCATAACTATGTGAGACCTTAGCAGTAAGTTGACGAGTCTGCCCCAAACTCTTTTATAGTAACATTTACTTATTTTTATTCATAAACTTATGATAATAATGTCTGAGATACCGTAAAATGAGATTAAAACTGTCACCTTCCACTGAAATAGGAATCTATCCTATTAGACTTCACAGACTTATTGATGTTTAAACAAACTTGGTAGACAAAATGTTTTCGGAAAAAACTAAGACATTTATATACAACAGGTCACAACGTCACAAATTTGAAGAAAGTTCGAAATACTGACATTGATCATAATAATCGAAAATGCATTGCTTAAATACTTCTTGCTCACCTTACTACCAGGCAACGGATGAAGTAATTTTTCCGCTTTTGTCGGTTCATCCTTCTCCTCAAAGTAAAAAGAATTTCGAAATCTGATGAGTGGCTAGTAAAGAAAAACAAGAGCCAAAAATTACGTGACATTTACTGAAATCAGAAGTAATTTCGTAAACACAGTTACATGATATACCACTTATATGAAATTTCATTCCTCGTCTAACCATATTATTTAAATGGAACAGACAATAAACTATGTAGATAATTATATACATCAAAAGAAATATGCGCACAGGGACATCGCAAGCTTTGAAACTGATATCTTAATTAAAATTTAGAAGTGGTTATGTGAAATATCATAAGGAACTGAAGGTCCTGTATATGATATTGTACAGAGTAGAGGGTATATCAATCAATCGTATAAGACGTAGGACGTCCCGCTAAAGTCCATCAGCCCAGACTTCCATACCTCATATCACTTTCTTTTTTTCGAAAGTTCCCAACCGCAACAAAGCAATTGTTTAATGCTTCCTGATCAGTGATGGTTATCCAGAATGATAAAAATACATAGACTGATAGAATTTTCGTAGGCGACAATAATTAATTATAAATACCTACAAACAAACTCATTTAATACATTTATTCCACCTCAATGCTAAATTGTGAATGTTAAAAAGATTTAATGATATATCATTAATAATCAATGGTACATTGAAGCCATCACGTTAGGTTGATCTTCAAATAATAATACTATGATTCAGTGGTAATATATTGCAAAATCTCGAAAAAATTGAAAAATAAAATTTGAATTGAAATCAAAAGATCAGCTTACACGATCTTTATATGTCTCAGGAAGATAATTAGAAGTACAAAATAAAGTTTTATATTTATTGAGATTCTGTCCACTAGATGTATTGTTTAAGTTGGATTTAATGTCGCCAGCCACAGATGATAATGAATTCGCTTGGGGCGTTTTAAACAGTCCAGAAGACTCTGAATATTGATTTTCTAACGATGTGAAAGGACCAGTAGTTGAAGGTAAATGGATCATACACCCAATAACATCATCTTTTTTATAACCTTCATCAGCGTAATGCTTTCCCCGAGACTCATGAAATGCGGTGCCAAGACGTGAACGCCAAGAATAACTAAACTTATCATAACCACAAGGTGCTTGTAAGTTACCTGTAGTTATAAAGATGACAATAAAGGTAATTAATTGTAGGAAATGGTACATAAATACACATACCAATCATCAACAATACAACTAGCATGAAATATAATTATTCAATAAATACTAAATGATAAAAACTAGTAAGCTAAAAAGCTCCAAGTGTCTAGCAAAAAGTAAATCGAGTATAAAACAGAATAGAATATTTAAATGGTTAAATATAGTGGAAGTATGAATAAGTATATCGATAAAAAGTGTATTGGCATACGAACGTTTTAATTCTGTATCTTGTTATTTAAGAACCGAATAGTATAACATTTAGGACAATAAAATATACGGTTATGTATCCAGCTCTTTTAACGTAATTCAAGTAGCTTATACATAAAAAACCTGAAGATATTCTCGAGTACGAAGCCACTTTATAATACCATACAAACGAATGAAACACATAAAGGCATTTTTCGAATACTTTCGTATAACTAAGTTGTTGTGTACATTGTAATGTATCTGTACCGCCTTGATCCAATGATACCCGACAACCTACTGTTGGGTCATCAACTCCAAAATACTATCTTCACTCTACGGAGATACTGCATAAGTAAATATAAAGCCTGGAATTGTATATTTAACGAAACTGGATATTATGACTCAATATACGTAGCAATGTTTGAAGGTTGACTTTTGTGGTTTGGACATGTCTGGCTGATTTCGTCCTAGCGACTTCTATAATACAGTGATGTTTAAAAAATGGACATACATGAGAACAACACTGTCTTGGTATACACAATATCTAGACTTTATGAATGACCTAACTCTGACAGAACCGTTTAATCCAAAAAATATTAACAACATTGAATCAGATAGCATATACTTGATTGGGTTTTAAAAGAGCATATTAAAACGCTCACCAGGATAACAGATGAGTAAATCATCAGTAACGTACATCTGGAATTTTCGTGTTAACGTAATGCTATTCACCTGCTTTGCACTTGATTCAGTACGGTCAATATATACCTGTACACCGCAACAACTAAACTCTACACAATATTTGAGGTATAAGTTGGCATTTAGTTATTAATATAGAAACGTATGAAGATAGAAGTTCATTACTTATGTCATTGAACTAACGTTCAAAATTTGGGAAACTGACCATTTATCATCAAATATGATAGATATACGACAACTTACCATACATTTGAGACCAACCGATTCTAGTTGCAGAACCTTCTGGTTGCTCTGTGATAGTTGCTTCGAAGTACCAAGTACCTGAATTAACGCTATGAGTGGCACGGACCATACAATAACCCTTCTCACCAGTAACTGACAACTGCGATTCGTGAACTTTCAAATGATTTGCTATAACGAAGACAAGCAATATACATAATAAAACTTAGTAAGTTCAATGTATACAGAATTACTATTTATCTGGACTATTTATGAAATGACTCATCCGAAGGTGAAAGTGTTTGAATGTTTCTTTTTTTCATGTAAATAAGAAGGGGAAGACACTTTCATTATAAAATCTACTTAACCTCTTTGGATGAGAGTGAATAATAAAAAAATTCACTGGTGTTTATGATATTACAACTTACTACAATTTCTTTTCCTTCGATTTCGAGTCTTATAAATAAGTATTAATATTTGTCAAAAACAATGACACGATTGTGCTGATAGGCTATCATATATATTGGTGGGAATTTTCAACAGCTTGATAGGCATTTCAACTATACATATCTACATCTTTAGAATAAGAACAGATTAACACTTAAGTTGTAGATGCTGGCATAATTGAAGAACTTTTTAACAGAAAAATGTATTCAGCGAACTAAAGCAAAAGAAAAGTTGGTTAAGCAAATACTACCTTTCCAGACTGGAAAATAATGACACTTAATCAGCTTGCAAGAACTCGTGAAATTCGAGCGCCACAAGTAATGTACAAAATCTAACAATGCATGTTGTTATACACTGAATTCCTAGTTTTACGCTTTCGATGTAATGTACGTTAAACAAGCCTCTATGTCATATCATGTCTACCGAGATGGTATTGTCAAATTAAGGGATAAAATCAATCCATGGAATTACTGTGTGCTTAAGCTATGGAAACTGCCGTAGATGACAACTTAAAACCTATTTTAGGGGGTGAGATGCACCTGTTTTTCGAAATAAACATATTGTACACTGACTTATTTTCACATATCCCCAGTTTTACACTGCCAAAGAAAAGTCAACCTGAACTAAGAAACCACTATGCAGGCTCTACAATGTTCAGATTTTATACGTCATTACAAAAAACTAAATAGATTTCAAAAAACCCTAACGATATTCTATGCAAACTACTACAAGAAAAAATTGGAAAACGCAGATTTCATCTGAGACAAAAGTTATTTGAAGAGTTTGTTTAAGTATTTTACGGTAAAATTAAGCTTACCACGATCACTCAGAGATAAGACTACTTGCGAGCATAAAAACACACGATAAAAGAGACCAGGTATGGGTTTCCCAGCTGTAAACTCGCATTCGTCCCACTGCTCCCGACCGGAGGCATGTTTATCCGGTTCCACCAAAATGTAACTAAAAAAATTTTAAACCAAATAATTACGAGATGTACAGTACGGTAGAATATATTCCACATAAACTTGTTCAAACTCCACTATATAAACATGTACTTGATAGATGCGTCGCATTTATATAAGAGATGAGTAAAAGCTGATTTAGATTGTAAATAAACGAAATCAGGTGGTAACCTTTATTTGCATGGCTTTTACTTAATTAGATTGCAGAAAGGTATGCAGCGTGATAGCTCATGATGAAAAGTGAGTTTATATCATTATTAACTTCACACTAGCTAGTTGGATCGTAGACATTTCATTTCCTGAAAAAGCGCTAATATACATGTTACCCACTAATCTGGGTCTGGTAGACATTTAAATAACCTAAATCTTGATGGGTTGGCATTTGGAAGTGAAATAATAAGATACTTGTAAAAAAAAGTCTACACACAGAAAGTGTTGTTGAAGTAAATAAGAAAGTGCATCAAGAAACGTTTGGAATAATTGACTATGGGCAATACCTACTGCATCAGAACTAATAACACTATTGTTTTGTCTTGGTGGAATCAAACACAATAGTATATATATATATATATATATATATATATATATATATATATATATATATATATATATATATGAATTGTTGTAGTTCCAAGCTAGGATGAAACAGCTATACAATGCTTTCTAGCTCCTGATGGTTGATTACTGAGTCATTCCGTGACATTATCTATGAATGTGTGTATCTCTTAATTTTATTGCATGGTGTTTGAGTTCGTAATTAGCTTTTTACACCCTCCCAGAAGCCTGTCCCAATAGTACAAATGTCATAATACTCAGACGTTCATCCTGTTCTCAATTAATTTTGTTACTTTTACTTATTTTTCTAAGTGTTTTGCTTTTATGTTGTTAAAACGTATAGCAACTTTAGGCGACTTACTACCTTATCGGATCGTATGTTGGTCTAGTCGTTTTGTTACTTGTGGAGACGAAATGTTGAACCATAACTTCAGAATTGGTGCATTCTGTAAATAGCGAGTTAAGTGAAGAAGTAGTGACAACAAAATGTGAGAACTTCTAGGTAATAAAGGAAGATATATAGTAAACAGTTTTGGAACTACATGGCGACTATTCCAATACACTAGAGTTTACTGCCGTCTACAAAAAGTCGATGTTTTTCTATTTTGGTAATTAGAGGTGGGCCTAAAAGAACTTCATGATAAATATATTTTCCCTAATGTTTTAAATGCCTTAATAGCAAAATTTAGAACAGAGGTGGGTTGTTTCAAAGTTTAACTACAAACAAACGTTGAGAGTATATCCAGAACAATAAACTTACCGATAACCTTCCTTATTTAGTGCATGATCAATCGGGAAGCCCAAAGAATTTAACTTTGCACGTCCTTCATCAGAACCTGAAGTTCCACTTAAAGGTGTGGTCCCACCAAGAACAGATGCCGAAGTGGCCCGACGAGTTGAACGTACAAGACCACTGGATAACCCGTTATTTACATCACCATTTGATGAGGCAGCAGTTCTAGTACCAGGGAACCCTGGGACATCAGCATTAGTCACAGTACCAAGTGCTGCACTTTCTGATGATCCACCTGGAACAGTAGATATCACTGAAGAACCATTGTAAAAGTTTCCCATCCCACCAGCTAACCCACTGCCAGGAGATTTGCGTTTACGCCAAACAGGCACATCTATGCCATCGGCTTCATTGGTGAAAGACAACTGATTATTAGAGGAAGTAAGATTTGATGATTGGTCAAGTGCATCAGAAACGGAACCTGATATAGATGGTTGGGTCTGTGACACATTGTTTGGTATGTTAGCGGAAGGAACTCCTAGTTTAGTAATATTTGTCCGAAGTTGACTTGTGAGAGCACGAAATCGATCATAACTTGGACCAATCTTGGTAAGATCCTAGAAACATACAAATGAAACAAATTGATTAAACTGTTAAAGCATAAATTTGGCCTATATATAAGCAGCGTTAGTGAATGGATCACTTCCAAAGAACTTACCTTCATGCTCTTTATAGGCATACAAACTTAATATTCTTAATTTCTTCCAACGAAGATTAAATAGCAAACATTTCAAATATGCTTAATCTGCCATAACCAAAACAGATGGATCTACTTAACCGAATGAAGATACAGTTTGATACAGAACTCTGAAACATTTTAAGTAAATTACGTACTCAAACGAACAAACTACGACTATCAGGAGTCGCTAATAAGAGCATGTATGTATTGGGTAAAAGTTAGGGCAGGAATTTTACAATCGTAAGATCTTAGGTTATGACACAACCAAATGGCACCTATAGTAACAATGATACCATTTACCAAAAGATGGAAAGATTATATGCAGTTTGTTTTTACTCTAGTCACAAGTCACCAACTAAAAGAAAACATTTAAGTTGAAAGTAACTGTTTTCGCAATACTGTATGTCTGAAATGAAATCACCCAATGAGTACTCCTGAGGTGACACTAAAAGCAAGGGAAATTGATTGTTGTAGATTTACTAGGCGCTTTTAATAACAAATAAAGTAAAGCATCATGCAAATAAAAATTTATTAGGTCTACTTTGAACCATATTGTATGAGAGTTAGTAATACTGCTAAGACGAAGTAGTTGATATGGGATTCATACCTGCGACCTATCTGTTGGAAGTAGACAGCCTTTTATCTATGTACTGTTTATAATGCATAAACATTTTGGTACAATAAGACGATAAAAGAATATGCCATATAAAATTATATAATATTGTAAAGAAAGTGATGACTATATGATCGATCAGTAAATGGACAAAAATGATACTCAGTAAAAGATACCAATTTGTCTGAAATATAATTAAAATGAATCTCATTCATCCAAAATTCATTTTATCTATATGTGGAAAGTGACATAGCTAAAAGAGGTCCATGATAGGTTTCTATTGCGAACAATGTCTAATGGCCACTTCAGTCACCAAACTAAATGATTTATTGAATTCTAACTAAAGGATCGCGAGGTACCGATAGATCCCAATGCTGTATAGCCGTCTTTCGTTTTAGCATCTCATGTCATCAGCCGACTGACTCCGTTTTCTTCCACACAGCTACATTCCCGGTAAATAATGTACAGTATGGAAGCCACTAGGATGACGTTGGTAAAAGATGCGCTAACCACAGATGATATCAACGGAATAATTATCACTGAGCGCAAACAGTCTGACTTCAAAATTACTTGCATGGTGTTACCAACAGATGGAAGTGACTTTCAGGGAAAACGATGATCGGTCACCAAATGGGACCACGTTCTTTCTCGAACCACTAACCCGACCGTAGCTGCTACCTTGACGTGGTGGTCGGGCTTGCCCGTCATGATGACCCAACCGAGCTTTATTGGCTGGAACATATGTTCCTGCAGGTTCAATCATGCCAAACAGGTCGATTGGAGGACGGTAGGACTAAAAGCAGCAACTCAAGGTCTGACGGCGAAGTCGTACTGCTGACTGTACAGAGGTGTGACAGCAGTAAGGTGTTTCCCTCGGACAACCAGCATCTGCAGTGATGCTGCCTTCTCACAAGGAAGGAAGGAGTTAGAAAAGGTCGACCCTAAAAATGTCACACCTCACCTTACCCCACGGATTTCCGTCTCCGGCGGTAAGGCCCTTTGAAGAACGGAGCCAACACATTAAAAACCTCCCACAAAAAGGCCGTGCGCGACCGGCCTCGAGCAGTTGTCCCTTGGGCTCTGCGGTCACGCTCCCAGATCGTTAAGACCAACACTGATCCGATTTCCTTTTCAGGTTCCTCAAGAAATACCCTTCCACGGTGTGGGCAGCCGGGAAGTGACATCAGCCCTCATACCCGTAACAGCACACGGGACCAAGTTGGTCACATTCAAATCCTTCCTACACCTCCTAATAACTCTCTTATCTCCACGATCAACCCTTTCTCACGTCCCTTTATCACCTCTCCCCACTAGTGCAAACGATTCGAGTATGCGGAACGTTATTACTGGTCTCCTGAAACCACGCTCCAAACTACACGAAGGAGCTTTCAACGTCCGAACACTGTGCCAAATAGGACAACAGGCTTCGTAAGCTAGGGCTTTAGAATCTCGCTCTATAGATGTGTGCTGCGTCTCCGAAACGCGCATACAGGATCCGAGTAGTATCATTCATTTGACCTCACCATGTCAAAGTAACGAACCAACTCGATTTACGCTCCGTGTATCAAGAACCTCTGATGTTGCTTCCCGTGGCCTCGCTGGCGTAGGTATAGCATTGAGTCCTAGGGCAGAACTGGCTCTCTTAGACTGGATCCCAGTAAACAGTCATTTGTGCGCTGTCCGACTAAATGGAACAGTAAGGACTCGAAAAGATAGGGACACTCGTCGTTGCCTCTTCGTCGTCTCTGCCTACTCTCCCCCTGACTGCAACTCAGATGATGTAAAAGATGAATTCTACAGAAAGCTTTCCGACCTTCTCCGAAAAGCTAGGCGTTCAGATGTAGTAATAGTGGCTGGTGACTTTAATGCTCAAGTAGGTAAACTAAGCGAAAACAAAAGACACCTGGGTGGATCTTATGGTGTCGCGGCTAAAGAACAGATAATGGCGACCGTCTGTTGCAGCTATGCTCAGATAACCGCCTGTTTCTTGCTAACACTAACTTTAAGCATAAGGAAAAACATCTTTTGACATGGCGACCCCCTAATTTGTCCCAACGTTGCACACAAATAGATCATATCGCTATCAGCCACCGCTGGAGAGGCTCGATAGAAAACTGTCGCTCATTCTGGAGCATATGCTTAGACTCAGATCATGCTCTAGTGCGAGCGCGTATTTGTCTACGTCTTACTGGACGTAGGAAAGATGGTGCAAGGAAACCCCTTAGGGTCCTACTTAATGATAGTCAAACTAAGAGTATATTTCAGGAACAACTAGAAAAACAGTTAGGCATCCATGTAAGTGATGCCCACCCCGAGGCAGCGTGGAATGACATCCGAAAAGCTATAGAAACAACAGTGATGTCTGCAAGTACGGTAAACCATAAGGTTTGGGAGAAACACTGGATCTCAGCAGCATCTACCGCGCTGATAGATGCTCGAAAACTCATTCCATCTGGCTCTGAACATAATGAAGAGCGGAGTCAGCTTAAGCGTAAGCTGACTAGAAGCCTACGCATTGATCGTGAACAGTGGTGGGTAGCGAAAGCAAAAGAGGTGAAAAAGGCAGCGGCATTAGGTAACAGCAGGCAACTGTTCAGACTTGTTAAGGAAACCGGTATTAGGAACCCAACTGTTAGCGAAACGATCTCAGAGAAAGATGGACATATTATTCATTCTCAATCCAGGAGATTAGATCGATGGACAGAACGCTTTAGGAATCAATTTAACTGGCCTTCATCCACATTTCGGTTACCCACGATTCTCTAGTCGACCTGAATGGCAAGTTAATGTAAGTCCTCCGACTTTTTACGAAGTTGAAAAAGCTATAGGAAATCTGAAGCGAGGGAGAGCAGCAGGCCCTGACAGGTTTACCCCTGAGATTTTTAAGGATGGTGGCCCAGTATTAGCAGCGAGATTGACTGAGGTCTTAGGTAGAATCTGGAAATTAGACGTAATCCCATCTGACTGGTCTCAATCACTGATTGTGTCAGTCTATAAGAAAGGACAAAAGTCTTCTTGTGACAATCACAGAGGAATTAGTTTGACTAATATAGTGTCTAAAATATTAGCTTCAACATTACTTCGACGCCTAACCAAAGCTCGTGAAGAACAGACTAGAGAAAACCAGGCTGGTTTCCGACCTGGACGTGGTTGTATAGATCAAATATTCACACTACATCAGGTCCTAGAATATAGACACACATTCAGACACCCCACAATCGTAGTATTTCTCGACCTTAAGGCGGCATTTGACTTGGTTGATTGTCTAGCCCTATGGCAGTGTTTGTCACTGAATGGAGTACCAAAGAAGTACATTAACCGTATACAGGCTCTCTACTCGAACACAACTGGTTGAGTGAGAGCTTATGGCAAACTGTCATCAGAACTGATTACCTCAAGTAGTGTTCGTCACGGCTGTCTACTCTCTCCATTCTTGTTTAACTTTGTCGTTGACGTGCTTTCAGAAATAACACTTTCCACATCTGACTTTCCAGGGATTGAACTTCTACCGAGAAATTCACTTATTGACTTAGAATATGCCGATGACATAGTTCTATTTGGTGAAGACGCTGACAAAATGCAGAGTCTGCTGACCACTCTAAGCAACAATGCAGGCATGTTCGGGATGCGATTTTCTCTCCCTCGAAATGCAAAATGTTGCTTCAGGGTCGGGTTGCATCGCCACCCGAACTAGTGATAGGGAGTGAAGTAGTTGAGCATTTCGACCGCTTCACTTATCTTGGAAGTCCCATCAGCCCTTGTGGTCTGGTGTGCGACGAAATCTCAGCACAGATACAGAAGGCTCGACTAGCTTTTGCCAACTTTCGTCATTTATGGCGTAGGTGAGATATCCGTCTATCAACCAAAGGACGTGCTTACTGCGCAGCAGTTCTTTCCGTCCTACTTTATGGCAGTGAAACATGGCCAGTAAGAGTAGAGGATATTCGTAGGTTACTAGTATTTGATCATAGGTGTCTTCGAAACATTGCTCGTATATCCTGGGACCACCGAGTAAGTAATGCAATTGTTAGGAAACGGGTACTAGGTAAGGATGGCAAATCAATTGATGAAGTAGTGAGACTTAATCAGTTGAGATGGCTCGGACATGTGTTACGCATGCCCGACCACCGACTGCCTCGACGTGCGATGTTTTATGGTGTAGGAGTAGGTTGGAAGAAAGCTAGAGGCGGCCAGACCAAAACGTGGCACAAATCTATGAAGTCACTGACAAGTGGACTGAACGATGTTGGTAGGTGTAGACTACCTGGTTGGGGACCGCGAGATGATAGCAACCGATGGTTAGAGACCTTGAATGACATGGCTCAACATCGTTTGCAATGGCGCAGGTGCATTCACTCTCTGTGTTCTCTCAAACTCTAACCTTCTGAACTCTTCATGTCTTTTATTTTCTTTCCAAATCTATTCCACTGGATTATATTCCTTAAATAAGATCATCAAACCCTAATGTTCCAGATTACTACTTATACTACCTCTACCACTACGGGATTTGAATCGATAACTGAATCTCTGTGTTAATGTGGTATACCAACTCGAACTGATGTACATTCGTACGAAGTTCCACGTTGTTACTGACTGAGCGGCATTCCGGTCACTAAACTCACTGGATATTTTGATACATGTATGGAGAACTGTTTCAGCAATCTTGAACCATATTTGAGGAAAGTCTGTATAGTGCATTTGCTACTAAACGTGTTTAAAACATTTATTCTTACCATACTGCTGAAAATAGTTGGAATAGTTAAATTTGTAATGTAGGCTGTTTATTTCAAGATGTGAATCCGAAATTCACGTTTCTGTGATCCACTAAATGCATCAAATCTTTCTGCTGACAAATCTACGTCACCTTAAGAGCAATGGCTAAGTCGATAAAGGTACAGAAAGACTTGTATAAGCAGAAAAGTGGTTAAGTACAATGGATTAAGATGGTTTCGTGGCCATACTGTGACCAAAGTATTAGTAGTCAATTCCATCAAGATGTTGAAGTTTCACTAGATAGCATACATGTGTTACAATAAGTTTTGAAGAAAAAAGGTACTTACAGTGTTAGACAAGCATACACAAAGTCCATCTGAAGTTTCTACGGTCTTGAATACATCACTACTAGTCTGTGGTAATAGATAAACAACCATAACAAACCAAAGTTTTGTGAATATTTGGATACCAAGAATTATTGGACCTTCTAGGTTGTGTTGTAAGTTCTTCCCAGTACTCTTCTAAAAAAGGGATGAGTTCCTTCATTTCCATGAAGTACAAACGCCCTCCATGCTTCAACATCAAGTTGGCAAGAGCTGTTTGACACATAACTGTAAAGTTCGCCTGCTTTCTGGAAAATACTTCTTCCCCGATCGGGTTGCATTTCTTACACATGAAATGGTAAGCTGTTAGGAAAGGTAACGCCTTTCTTTAAAAAATGACTATTTTACTGAAAATGTAGACAAACCCTATGTTGAATGCTATACATTCAAGATGGAACCATTTATAACAAACACTACACTGAAAATCCGGTCTGCTAAAATCACGTGGTGACATACTGAAACATTATTATGTGAATGACAGCCACAAACCAGTAGCACTGAGGACCAGGAGGAGTAGGTATATTTACAACCACTGACAACTGAGTATTCTGATCACAATCCATTTTCTCTGTGTTGTCCAAGACCTCCGATTTGCATTTTGATGCTTCTATCACGCTATCGTTAGTCTATCAAACATTTAAAACTGAAAATAAAAGAAGAAAATACCATCGGTTGGAAAGCCCTTCTTCGTAACGACGAGTTTAGAATGTGCGCTGTTTAATATCCAATATCTTTGTAGCGAGCTCGTGTAAGTTACTCAGTCTTTTGCCTTTCGCTTCTTGACAGTGAAGCATGGTTTCGGGCTCCTGAAGTCTTTCAGCGTGGGTCATCTAGGCATTCGTGTGCTTTACTCTTTGTGAAATTTATGGTTTCTTTGTGATTAATATTACTTGGATACAAGTTAATGCTTTTGTTACACAGAAGTTTAATAGAACTAGAAGCTATCACATTGCTAAACAGAAGGATGCTAGATTGGACTGCGCAAACCATACTTTAGAATCCAGAGGATAAAAGGAAAGACAATGGTTAGAAGAAGTTAATAGATTTGTAGTATCAAAAAATATCTCTGAGCCCTTGTCAAATCGTCCATCAGGTCGAACGGCAATGTACTGAACTTCAAACAGCTTACCGAACCTCTTCAGGGTCATAGATAGCCGGCGCGAATCAATAAATTGCTCAGGCCCATGCATCAATATCCTTACTCTAAACCTCTCTAATCTTCTATCCCTAATAACATACTCCAGTTTCATAAAATTCTATTTTTCCTTGGCAGTGATTAGTGCAGTCCTATTACTTGGCTACTGCAACAGATTAAGACAGGGTGAACACTTTTCACTGGATGTAACTTCTACGTAAGCCAGGTGGTGAGTCACGCCATTCCCGCCCGAATTGAGTTAACGCATCATCAGTATTGACGATCTACATAATTACCCCAACAATATAAGTAAAAGATACTGCAAGAAAACCAGATAAACGGATAATTGGAGCAGCAAAATGAGTAGGAATAAGCTAATTGTAGTAATGGTGAGGATATTAATAGTAATAAATTTTGAAACGTACTAGCCACAGGTATTCTAAGTGGAAGGTAGACCATGTGTGAGTATGTGGTTATCATACCTCTTTCTAAAACAGCCAGTTAAGAGGGCTATCCTCACGTCGTGTGGAAGAATATTTCAGGCAGAGCCCGTTTGTAGCAAGCAAGTATGTGACCTTGTAAAGGTATTGGTTCTAATCACATGATACTTGGAGCTGAACATATGATAACAGAGAAAATCACATACGTACAGTAAACAGATATCACATGGCTTTCTAACATACACGGAATATAACAACAATATACATATATACAATATTGATTGCCATAGATTGCCAAACACAAAATCCTTTTACTGCTCATAAGTTAAATTGTTAACCAGTGGTTATTACTATGCACCCTAGTATGACTCGTTAAAATATCTCTATACCGAATCATTCTTTATTATGATAATCCCACACTATTTAACCCTTAAATAATCGTCAAATAGATTTTCACTTTGGGCGTGTTAAGAATTAACCCAAATATTTTTGAAACTATTGCATTTATTTCCCAATCACTTGCTCCTACCCTCTCTTGGATTTATCTTCCAGTTTACCGACCGCCGAAAACCTCCGGAAAGGGATAATCCCACTCAAATTTGTATTGAACCAAGATCACGTAGGTTCTGATGAGGGATTAGTGTGTTGGTACTGATTCTAACCAAACGACACTCGGTGATCACAAGATAATTGAGGAAACTCATATTCAACATTTAGCGCTGTGAAAATACCAGTGATATTAAATGCAGGAATCATTGGTAAGAATGGCATGGCACGGTCATGCAGGCGTGGTTACCCTATGTAACTTATTGCTTTTTCGTATTAATTATATTACTCTCTACCCAATCCAAAATGTGTTCTTCAGAAGAGTTAAACGTCGCGCTATTTACTGTCACTAGGACAAATCAGTATAGACCACGATCTGACTTCCAGGTAAGATCTTATAGGTTGGATAGTCACATCATGACGAATCTACATTTTTTGGATTATTATAGTAGCAAAGATAAATGTACTCATATCGAACTACACCAAAGTTATCCAGCGATTTTTCTCGAGTTTTCTACGATTTCATTCAAGTTGTTGATTAATCTAATGAATGCATGTCTTCTGAATTTGTGAGCTGCATCTTGACTCCTTTGTAGAAAACCTTCAATGCCACGTTGAAATTCAGCCAAACTGAAGAGCCTTTGGAAAGGCGGTTGCTATCGAAAAATAGCGCAGGGTTCTATGAAAGCCATATTGGAAGGACATTGTCGAATCGTATGGACAATTGATAGGAAACAGCGGAACAACGCAAACATTTTATTTAGATACCAAATACAAGGAAACAAACAATAGTTGAATTGATTCATCAATAAGAATTCTATAAAGACTATCCAGAGGTACCAAATGCACGTACTAGGAGATCAAAGTAACATGCATTTAGGCGGACCACTTCTTGCGATTCAGATGCAAGATGCCTACCGTCACTTCAAACGTTCAAGGTCGTATATACTACAGTGGATAGTTTTAAACACTAGCCGACTTCAAACTTATGCCATCAGAACAACAAAGGAATAAATTTGCGCACATAAGAATCTGAATAACGTTAGTAAACGCGCATGCCCAAATGAAAATGTCGTCGCGCTTTATTGAAGCTGTGATGTGATGAACAAATGTTGGTTGAGAGTTAATTTAAATCAAGTTCACAGCTGTTTTTATCAGAACGTAGTGTGATAAATGCATAATCAGTCTGTTGAAAACGTCAACTTTTTTATGTATTACTTCATACTTTTTGATAGTGTTCTCCAGATAATCTAATAGGCTTCAGAAGACATAACTATGAATCTTTCTGAAATATCAGGGGCATCAATTGGAGCGTTTGAAGAAAACATGTGATTCAACTAAATGATCTCGGTGGTGTATCTCGACGGCGCTGAAAACGTGAAAGTAGAAGAGAAGTACCAGGAAATATTTATAAGTGATGAACTGGAATCACTTGTGATGGAACAATTAAGGTGTGGTGTTACGTCCAAGTTTTTGCTCCTTCCCGTTATTGAAGTACGGTATGTCGATCTATTTGTAATTTACGAACCCAAATTAACAACAGAACCAAAACCAAATCAGGTACCAAGTTTATTCGCAATTCACAAATAGTCGACCAAATGTCATTCTTCAATTTTATAGGTTCCCGGAGCAAAAAACTTCCAATTACCAAGCCAAGACAAACAGAAACCAAAATGTTCGAAATAATGATATAAACAAACAAGTTCAGAAGTTAAGTAAAACAAATACATCCAAAAACCAGTGAAATTAATGATATTTAATATAAAGTTTTTAATCAGCCAAATGTCTTTAGTTCTCCCGTAACACTCCCGACCAAAAGAACCTTGGTTCTTTTCACCGACAAAAATAGGTAACAGCGATCCAAGTATGTGCATCGCAAGCAATCAACAACAAACATTCAATATAACGACAACCTCGTGATCCCTAGGACTTACACCAGTACGCCTAGGGATCCGATTAACTACCTACCATCTACCGCTTCAAGAAGACACAGTTTACGTATATCTCTCACTAGAATACCCTTTCTCGTCCTCAGCTCTACCTGTCTTACTATTCTATCCTTACTTGGTATCACTCTTTGTACTAGACCTAAGGGCCACTTGTTTTTCTCGGAAAAGTCAGAACATATCATTACTAAGTCACCCTCACGTATATTCCTCTCTAGTTGTGTCCACTTGTAACGACGCTGCAATAGTGATACATATTCCTTAGACCAACGTCTCCAAAATACTTGTGCCAAATAATTCGCTTGCTTCCATCTCTTAGAATACCTGTCATTAGATAGAGTGTTAGCGAATTCTGCAACATTCTCTCGCAATAGTAATAGTTTCGCTGGTGTTATTGCATCAAGATCCTTCGGGTCGTCTGTAACGGGAACCAAAGGTCGATTGTTAATTATACGTTCAGCCTCTGTCATGAAAGTTTCAAGACATTCATCTGTTAAAGGTTGTTCCTTTACAAGAGTACTCAATACCCTACGTACAGAGCGAATCATGCGCTCCCACACTCCTCCACAATGACTAGCAGCCGGAGGATTGAAATGCCAGTCAATCCCCTTTTTTAGCAAATCAGAGTGTATACGTTCCTGTACCCAACCCTGAAGACATTTTCTTAGTTCATGTTCAGCCCCCACTAGATTTGATCCATTATCACTGTAGATCTCCTTTGGATAACCTCTCCTGCTGACAAATCTCATTATTGCCATGATAAATGAGTCGGTGGTAAAACTATATGCCACCTCCAGATGCACGGCTCTCAATTTTAAACAAGTGAATACACAACCATACCGCTTCTCAGTATTTCTACCATGTTTGACCATAAGGGGTCCAAAATAATCTACCCCAACTGATAAGAACGGATAGTCACCTCCTTCTATCCTGATCGAAGGTAATGGCGCCATTAGTTGCTGAATGGGACGAGCATTCCTTCTTTTACAATAAACACAATCCTTTATCACTCTCCTCATGGCCACACCGCCCCTCAGCACCCAAAATCTTTCTCGGACCGTCGCCATTACCTGTGTAGCTCCAACATGTCCCTCCAAAACATGATAATACCGTAGAATCAAATTTGTAATTGAGTGCTTCGATGGTAATATTATGGGATGCTTCCTCGACTCGGACCAGGAACTAATTTGAAGTCGACCACCGACACACAATAATCCGTCTATGATCTTTGGATTTAAGATTCGTAAGGGTGAATTCGTTATTTTCACCTTGCTAATGTTATCAGACGACAACATTTCAATCTCTTTCCGAAATACTATGCTTTGGACATATCGAATTAAATCTAAACAAGCTAAATTTAGTTCATCAACTCTGAGCATACCCACCTGTAGGGATAGATCACCTCTGCCAGAATACATTATTAACAAATATTGCTTAAATCGGATCAACCATGCAACAGCCTTGAGTAATCTAGTCCAATCTGAATAATAATTAATAAGTAGATCAACAGTGGATTCTCCAACCATTACATGCATGGACATTGCCTTCTTTAATTCCAAGAGATGGGGTTCAGGATCTTGTACATTTGCATCAGGCCAACACTCTTTCGGTTTCTTCAAAAAATGAGGTCCTTCCTCCCATACCTTGACATG